GAAATGGAGAGTAGGCAGGAATAAGTGGACTGCCAGACCGCATGTCCATCCGCTAGAGCGGTTTGGTCCGGAGTGCCGGCCTGAGGAGAGTCACCGCATTGAGGTCCTTGTAAGTTGGCTTTGAGAGCCAACGAGCAGACAGGTTGAGGACAGGCTGCTGTGGGGATTCCTGCGTAGTCAGCAGCCGTCCAATAAGTAGGTCGGGGCTTTCCATGACGAGAGTCTGCGCGGAGTTGGTCCACTACAGGCTTTCCGCTATTACTGACGATTCTTACGGTACCTAAACGCACTCATACTATCAGCTTTTTCTTCACCGGAACAAAGTCTACATGCATGTTAACCATAGTGCATTCATGTCTGCGATTATTGTTTGGTATTACGAATATCGGTAACCGAATATCTACAGTGGTCACCTGTGGAAGTGTCACTGTGACCCAAGCCTGCATACGCGCCGACGCATGGTATTACGAGTATCTGCAGTTGTGTGGCCTTGCTGGGTACCGATACACATGTGCTCAAGAATAGAGCTCTGTGCCGACAGGTGACATTATGGGTATCTGCAAATTAATAGCTTTGCTGGGCACTGGTACGAAAGTGCAGTGTGAAGTGAACAAGGCTGACGCTGACACCCAGCAGAGCTACGCACCAAAACACGACATAACCTGAACCATAACGTGCCTTTGAAAGGTTTAGACTAAGAAGAAGTAGAACTCCCAATAGATCATCCTGGGTTTAAGTAGTGCTTTATCCGCTATGCTTTGGCACGCCGTCCCGCGTGGAATGCGTGGTTCCCCAGCCATTTTGCATAACAGCGAGTCGCTGTTAGTAGCCCACATATCCAAGGTCACGTTTGCCGGGAATAGTTATTTCTTAGAGTTAGTCATGCAAACAACAACGGTGTCGCGCTGTGACTGAAAAGGGGGACCGACTTGCTGGACGGAAACTTGTATAGGGTCAAATCGATAGCAGCCAAGGGCGCACGCACACCAGCTCCGTTAGCAAGGCGAGGGGCGAGCGTACTAAACACTCTCAGGAACTCCGTATTGACGGACAGGGCTGACATCTTAGTTGACAGGTGCCCTCCCCCAAAAAAGCAGGAGAATAACTTAGGCAGACTTACACCACGTGCCTCCTTTATTTTATCAGAACTACTCCATTCAATTAAGCGAGGTTCCAATACTCATCAGTCTGCAACAACCACAAAGTATTTTATACCCAGCTGGATTCCGACCACTAAATGAATATTTATTCGGTCATACGTGAAGATTCCCCTGTGTTAAGGCATGGCAAACTGCGTCTTATACATTTTTCTTCCAAAGAAAGCCCCACAGTTCTCTAAGCTACTAAGGCACAATTTACAGGCTAATACTTCTGATGTGGATACGCCGTTCATTCTACGAAAATACATTAGTAACCTAGGGTATCCAAGGATTCTGCAATAACCATTTAAGAACCTATACTAACTAGAGAACTACTTTTAGCGACCATGTCAAACGTGGTGTGCAAAAAGCCCCGAAACGCTTTTCATGATAATGAGCAGTCTCCCTCGACTGAAACCCTATTTTGACCTTCAAGTATGCTTAACGAGATTGGTTGGCATTTGAGATCCCGGGAACCTACCTGACATGATACGAAAATAAAACCGCCCTCCTATAATATAGGTGGCTTTGTGCCAAATTCCAGGAAGATAAGGGTTGCTGTTGGGACACAGGAATAGGTACCCATCCTGGAGTTTAACGCAAGGCCACCGGTATTACGGGATTTTCCTATTTCTGTGTTATACAGCTTATTTTACCGGCGTTTGAGATAATAACTTTCTACTATAGGGGGATGTTGTGGTGCTACACTTCACAGCATTTAAAGATGGGCAAAAGCAAACTGGCGACTTCATCGCCCGACGTGAGTCTTCGGTCCTAACTGACTTCAGGGTTGGGCGAAAGGCGGTGTAAGCGGTCGATGGTCTAAATATCAAAGGCGTTTGCGCTGATGCTGGCAGCCCCTTAGCATGTCCAACTAGGCTCTTGCCAGCAGAGCCCGCCTACCGCCGATTCTCTACCGTCCCGTCAACCTAGCTACG